AATTAAAATTCACTCAAAATATGAAACACTTATCGATTGTGAAGACAAACAACACTTCAGACTATTGTCGCTACGATTGGATCAATTGAGTGACAAACAAACGGAGGACACAATTGGATCACAAAAACCACAACAAAAGGGAGTCTATAAGAAGAGAAAGACATCAGAAATAGAAGACAATAGTAATGAAGCGGACAATGATTTAGGAGTTGTTATCACTAATGAAGACTCGGACGAAGAGTGGAGGCCATCGACCGCCAGTCGGACGTCTCGGAAGGGTTTGAAAGCGAAACGACAGCCAAAGGTCTATAAGAATCCATTTTATACCAAAACACCAAAAATAGAAGACAATAGTAATGAAGCGGACAATGATTTCGGGGAAGAGATGGCCGCTAATGAAGATTCAGGGGAAGAGTGGAGGCCATCGACTTCGGCGGTCGACAAGCGGTTGAAAGGGAAATGCATTCGTCCGGTGGTCGACGAAACTGAGGCCATATATCAGTGCGATCTCGAAGACTGTGACTATAGTACCCACTTATGGCCAAATCTGGTCGCACACCGAAAAACACACGACAATCCCATGACTGAAGACAATAGAGGCCAACGACAAGGGCTGCGGCGCCGAAGCATTGACTCGACCACCGATGGATCCATTGACCCGATCTTTGAAACCGAACAATATAAACGGCTCAAAAATTTGGGACAATTGTCGCGCAAGACATCGGAAACGCTTCGATGCGATCGCGAGGGCTGTGAATATCAGACAAATGTTTACAAATATCTTAAGCAACACCGGAAGAAACACAACAACGCGGCCACAGAAGCGAAGCGAGTGCTACGCCGGGAGTTGAAGAGCCGGTGCTATGACTCGACCACTAATACCTATATCTGTGACCACACGGGCTGTCAGCGAGTGTTCAATTTGTTTGAACTATTGACACAACACGTGATTCGTAGGCATATCATTGAAAAAGTGGTCTGCGATTACGATAATTGCGGCGAAGTATTCAAATCTAGGTGTTTGATGAGAGCTCATTACAGACGTACGCACACCGATCCGCAGTTGCAGTGCCCGCACCCGAACTATGATCGTATGTTTTCCACGCCATCCCAACTGAAGGCACATGAGGTGACGCACAGAACGGTTCGGCAGTTTAAAGGCTCTCATAAGACATCGGAAACGTTTCGATGCGATCGCGAGGGCTGTGAATATCAGACAAATATTTACAGAAATCTTTGGCAGCACCGGAAGAAACACAACAACACCGTCACAGAAGCGAACCGAGTGCTAAACCGGGAGTTGAAGAGCCGGTGCTATGACTCGGCCACTAATACATATATCTGTGACCACACGGGCTGTCAGCGAGTGTACAAATTGTTGGAACGATTGAGACAACACGTGATTCGTAGTCATGCCGTTGAAAAAGTGGTCTGCGATTACGAGGATTGCGGCCAAGTATTCAAATCTATGTGGACTATGAGAAATCATTACAGACGTACGCACACCGGTCGGCAGTTGCAGTGCCCGCACCCGGACTGCGGCCGTCTGTTTCGCTTGGCCTCCGAAGTGAAGGCACATGAGGTGACGCACCGAACGGTTCGGCAGTTTAAGGGCTCTCATAAGACATTGACGTATAATAAGAGCCTTAAGTGTAAGAACAACACTAGTGGTATGGAGTATATGTGTCCGCACGAGGACTGCGACCATAGGTATGGGTCTAAACATCAGTTGGACCGGCATTTAGTCGCTCACCAAACGGAACGTCCGTTTGCCTGCGATTTCGAGGGCTGTACTAAGAGTTACCGTAACACAAGAAGTTTATGGAGGCATCGATTGGATCACATGAACGCACCGACCGATGGATCCATTGACCCGATCTATGAAACAGAACAATATAAACGGCTCAAAAAGTTGGGACAATTGCGGCGCAAGACATCGGAAACGTTTCGATGCGATCGCGAGGGCTGTGAATATCAGACAAATGTTTACAGAAATCTTTGGCAACACCGCAAGAAACACAACAACGCGGCCACAGAAGCGAACCGAGCGCTAAACCGGGATTTGAAGAACCGGTGCTATGACTCGGCCACTAATACCTATATCTGTGACCACACGGGCTGTCAGCGAGTGTACAAATTGTTTGTACGATTGAAAAACCACGTGATTCGTAGTCATATCGTTGAAAAAGTGGTCTGCGATTACGACGATTGCGGCGAAGTATTCAAATCTAGGCATTTGATGAGAAACCATTACAGAGAGACGCACACCGATCCGCAGTTGCCGTGTCCGCACCCGGACTGCGACCGTATGTGTCGCACGCCATCCACATTGAAGCGTCATCTGTTGAAACACCAAACGGATCGGCCGTTTGCCTGCAATTTCGAGGGCTGTCACAAGACATATACGTCGAACGATGGTCTTAAGAATCACCAATTGATTCACAGCAATGAACGCACCATTAAATGCACTGTCGATGGATGTACTCAACTATTCTTAACAAAGCATATCATGAATAGACATCGCATAGCTGTCCATAACTTTAAGCCATACGACACGAAAAAGCATACGTTTATGTCAAAGATAAAGCCAACACTTATGATAATGTGTGAGTGGCCGGGATGTGAGTACACGACTCCATATAAGTTCCGAATGCAAACACATCAGAACATACATACGGGTGAACGACCCTATGTCTGCGAATGGCCAGAATGTGACAAAGCCTTCAGAGATCCGAGTGGTCTGAAGACACACATGAATATACACAAGAATGTGCAGCCATTCACCTGTCATTGGCCCGGATGTACGTACAGGTCATCCGATCACTCGTCGAGATATAAACACATTAAAGCAGTTCATAAAATGTAATTGACTTGATTTGATTATAATTAAAAAGTTTGTATTAGTTTTCATATATTGTTTGTTTTAATCGCTGTCTAGTATTTTGATATATAAATTGTTTTAAATTTAATTATCAATTTATTGTCAATTATATAATAAATGTGAACTAAAAGCGATATTTACTTTATTATCACGTCTAATGATATTTGTGTTGGAAATTAGTTTCACATTATTTTGTTTAATTCAAATTCAATGCAAACACAAAATGAATTCAATTTAATTATTGTAAAAAATTATAAAATAAAATAATTATAAAATTTTTGCACTTTTAACAATAGTTTTCGAAAATTTTCAGATATATTCATTGTATTCGTTGTCAACAAAATAAGCTACAAAACATTTATTACAAAATTTTTTCCAGACATCACTCAAATACTTCTAATCATACCATTAGTCTTCATTGTCTTAACTTAAGACTCTTAAGATTTAAGTTTAGTTTTCACTTTTGGTCTTATATTTAGCAGTATTTTTTATATCAATTGTCATATTTTTATTTATAATTATTATTTGTTTTACAGTTAAATAGTTATTAAAATATTTGCTATAAAATAAAATCACAATTTATTACTGATTTAATCATTATTTGAAATTTACTGTAAGTTTAAAAGTGGGCGTAATTTATAGACAATTCTTTAAAAGTTGTTATTATTATCAATGCTTTCGTTGTTTTGAATCTGTTTTGCATTTAATTGTGTTTTAGATTTCATTTCATTTAAAGTATTGTTTAATTAAATTTTTAATAATTTATAAATTGTATGAAATTATGGTTAAAATGGAGGCAAAGAAAAAGTCATTAATAATTAGTATAAATGATATTTTGGATGAATTAATGGCTGAAAACAAACGACTTTTACATGAAATCAAGTGTTTATTTGAATTGAAAACACATTTAATTA